ACCATTCATAGTACTAATAACTGCAACAACATGAATGGTGGGGACAGAGACCAAATATACAAACCAAATAGTTCTAAAAATTTGTAAAAAAAAATATGAGAAAAGAAAATGGGATATGAAAGTAAAATGTTCAAAATGCGAACAGAGAAAACAGAAGATACATGGTAAGTAATACCTTAAAAGAAGAAGGAAATATAGAGAAGTCAGGAAAAACCAAGATGATCTGGCTGTTAGAGGGAGAAGGAGAAAAAGAGTAACAAGAAAAACCAAAAAAAGAACAAAACAAACAAAAAAGCCTAAGCCTCAAGGAACAAAATTAAGTTTTAAAAGAGTAAAAACTGAGAAAACAGGAACAAAGATGTATATGTGTACATCCACAAACCAATCAGCATGGAAAGAACACCACCACCGCCACCACCACCACTCCCAGCAAAGGAAGGAAAAAAGACTCCTAATGAAAAATGAAAGGACTCTTCACTAAGATTGTCAAAACTGTCCACATGGGTGGATGGTCCCTGGTTATGCCCAACTATCTTTCTTTCTATTTCTTCTTGGTCCAAGTACTGGGGGTGAGGGGGACAGACAGACAGATGGAAGAGGGGGGTCGGGGGGAGGGTAGCGCATGCAAGGGCTGGGGTTGTTGGCCCCTTCCTCCTTTGGTGTTGCTCACAGAGCTGCCAGCTGGAGCGGCCTAAGTCTGCAGCAGGCTGAGAAGTTCCCAGCTTCCCTTCTCACCAGTACAAGGTAGGACAGAGTGCAAAGTGCTATCATTGGAGTTCTGTGTGGCAGACAGACGGACGCACTCCTGGGGGTGGGCTGCAACAGAGTTCTACGTGGGGAGTTCTGGTGCGGGGACGATTAGCTCTGATCAGATGTCTGGGACTTTGTTGAGTGGTGTCTGCATTGGAGAGATTAGATCTGCACACTCCTAGGAACAGGCAGGTGCCAGTCTCTGCTCAGCATCTGAAACTCAGGGCTTCCTGAGAATTCTACTCATGGGCAGAGTAGCCACTGATCCACAGGCCTTGCACACCCCACCACTCCCAAATGCTGCCTTCCCAGGCTCAGTCTCTGAGTGAATGGCACTCACCTGTTCACTTCTCTAACCTTCTTCAGCTGGTCACCTGAGCCACCAGCTCAAAAAGAAAGCAAGTTACACTCCCATCCGTATCCCACTTGAACCCCTTTGGGCACAAATCTCCTCTGTACCTGTTTCAATCACATTCTGCTAGAGCTGCCCTAGACTACGTGGTAGGTGCTCGCCAAGACAGCAAGGCAATATTTGCTATGATCTCCCAGGTTGCCCCAATAAGTTCCAGTGTGACCTCCTCAAGATGGCTCCACCTCAGCTCTCTGTTTACCAGTCAAGAAACACGGAGGAGTTTTCAAATACCCACTCCCTGAGCAGGCTCTGGTTCAGCTAAGTTCAGACTGCTTTTCTGTTTTACAGATTTTCCATGAGAAATTTTTCCATTGTGTTTCTCTATGTTCTCCCTCCCCTCTGTAGTGAACCAGAGCTGCCACAGACCTGGATCCAAGGTATTCCTTCCTCTCCTCTGTCCAAAGTACCCATTTCTGGGTCTCTAGGAGTCTCTGACTTTACAACACTGAAGTTCAGTGAGTTGCCACTGCCACCCACTTCACTGTTGCTAGAATTCCAAGCCATGGAGAAACTGAACATGTGAGCTTTTACATCTGAAGGGCATGATGTAACGTGGGGCATGTTGCATCAGAAAAGAGGAAACTTAACTTGCTGGCTGCTACCCACTTCTCAGTCCTGGGGCCACCTGTGGCTAAGAGAGCACCTAGCGATTAGCCAGAAGGCATGGCCGTGGGTTGTGATGAAGAATCGGGCCACCTCTAGGATAGGCTCAGAACCCCTCTGCCCTCAGGATGGGTGTAGATGTAAATTCTCCCCACCCTGCTGACCTTTACCCTGACTGGCTCCTGTACATTATATTAGCTGTGTGTGTTTTCTCAATAAATGAGATCCTGCTTTGACTATTCTCCCTGGCTCATTGTCTCATTGTCCTCCGGAGACTTGGCCCGTCCTGGTCAGGGCGTGCTCGCCCAATCTCTCCCACAGGTCAGGAGGGAATGGGGGGGGGCTAAAAACCCCAACAACATCTGTCTTCTTTTTATCAATGTGATGTTTTTGATGCTCATTCATATAGTAGCATGTATCAGTACATCATTTAATTTTATAGCCAAAGAATAGTCCATTATAGGCATATACCACATTCCTCCATACACTGACGGACATTTGTGGCTAACATGATCAATCTTGCTGTAAACACTCATATGTAAGTTTCTGTGTGGGCATACCCTTTTTTAATATTTAGTTTTTTGGTTGTAGTTGGACACAATACCTTTATTTTATTTATTTATTTATTTATTTATTTATTTATTTATATGTGGTGCTGAGGATTGAACCCAGGGCCTCGCACGTGCTAGGTGAGCGAGTGCTCTACCGCTGAGCCACAACCCCAGCCCCTGTGTGGGCATACCTTTTCATTTATCTTGGTTATATGCCTAGGAGTGGAATCACTGGGTCACATGGCAATTTTAAGCTTCATTTTTTTGGTGAATTGCCAGAGTTTTCCACAGCTGCTATATCCTGCTGACACTTGTTATTCTTCTGTTTTTTTAAAAAAAATATTATTATAGCTATCATAGTGGGTGTGAAGTAGTATCTCATTTGGGTTCTGATTTGTTTCCTTTATAACCAAAGATGTTGACCATCTCTTCATGTGACTTCTGGTCATTTGTATATCTTCTTTGCCCATTTTTAAATTTTCTGTTTTGTCTTTTTGTTGTTGAGCTATAAGAGTTCTTTATATGTGCTGAATATTGACCCCTTATCAGATGTGTGATTTGCAAATATTTTCTTCCAGTAAGCATAAATAAATAATCTGTGTTTTCTTTTTTTGCTCATGATTTTGATGTCAAATCTAAGAATCCATTGTCAATTCTGAAGTCTTTAAGACTTATCTCCTATTAAGTACTGTCATTGTTTCAGCTCTTCTATTTAGTTCTTTGATCAACTGAGTTAACTTTGTATATGGAGTGAAGTAGGGATCCTACTTCATAATTTTATATGTGGATAGCCAGCTTGGTCATTACCAAGGACTATCAATAAGGGCACCATCACTGCCCCCGCCCCCCCCCCCGCCCCCCGTCTTGGCTTCACATGTCCCATGTCATTCCAACTCACTTGCTCTAACATCTGCATCCCAAGGCTGCTTTGTCCACATGAAAACCTCTAATCTAGGTTCCTGCCCTCACCTTCCTGTCCCCAGCTTTGACCACGTTCAGCTCTATGACTCATATGTACCCTCTCTCCTCCTTATACTTGTCTTGGAAAGCCTGAATCTGGAAAATTCAATTCTCTACTTAAGGCTCTAAGGAGTGGACATGGTTGAGAAAAGCACAGGTCACATTAGCCCTGCTCACAGGCTATGGCCGCAGATCTGACGCTTCCTGGCACCATCTGCTGCTGGGAAGAGCTGCTGTTCCCTTCTATGCCCCTCACCTCCATTTTTTACTCGAATCCACCAAAAGGGTTTTGTTCCCACCATGCCTACACAAACTGTCCTCGCAAGAGTCACCAGGGGCCTCTGCCATTCTTTCTTAGTCCTTCTCTCACTTTACTTTCCAACAGCACTTTGTGGGGTGGGCTATTCTCCCTCAAGAGACACTTCCTTCCTTGGGCCTCTGGGGTGCTGCTCTCTCCTGCCTCACTGACAGCTCCTCAGCCCCTGGATCTAGCTGTTGAGAGCCACAGCCCAAGTGGCCCCAGCAAACTTCCAGCTGATTGGCTCCTCTGCGGTGATGCTCACTGGGCTGTTTCCCCGCCCTTTCAGACGACGGAGCTGCTCATTAGGGGACTCTTTTGGCTCTGCCCATGCGACCCAGCCAATGGGCCTCAAGAGCGGGAGGAGTGGGGGGTTGAGAGGCTCACTGGAAGCCAGTGGTGGCAGTTGGGCTCTGAGGGAATTCCTGAAGAGCTCCTGTGGTGCGGTGGCGTGTGTGTTCTAAAAATAAAGTTCGTTTCTGCTTGACAAGTGGCTGGTGAATTGTGCCCAGCCAGACTGCGGCATCTAGCACTCCTGACTGCTCAAAATTCAGCACCAAGAGTTTGTTTAAACTCAAGATTCCTGGATCCCTCTTCCAGAGATCCTGATACAGTAAGTCTGGGGCCCCTGGGAATCTGCTCTTTAAAACAGCATTCAAGTGATGCTTAAGCCACACATAGATTGCTGGGCTGCACTAAAGTGGGACCCAGAGAGCATCCTCCACTCACACAGATACCCAGAAAACTGATGGTAACTCCTTCCATTCTCCAGCCCAGAGGTCATACCTGCAGCTCTCCACACTTTATCTCAGAGGAGCAGCGCCTCACCCATCACCAGGGAATCCCAGGGTGTAGCTTTCTTATCTCTTTTTCGATCAGGCCAACTCTGCCTCAAAATGTAGCACCACCCATTTAGTCCCTCATGCCCTTCTCTAGGTCACTTCAGCCCACTCACCTCCATGTTCACACTATAGCCCCCTCCTCACATCCACACAGAAGCCAAGCTGCAGAACAGGAAGTAGACCTTGTTGCACTCTTGCTTCAAGGCTTCCGCAAGCCTGGAGTAAGATCCACCCTCCTTAGACCAGCCTGCCATTTCTCCCACCTGGCTCATTGCGCCAGGCATGCTGGCTGAGGGGCTGCTTCTTCCCCTCCCACCACTACGGTGAACCTTCCAAGACACTGGACACTGAGGGGCACCTGCCCCCTGAAATGCAACCCTTTCGTGGAAGTCAGGCAGGGCCACTAGAACTTGTCTTCAAGTGGGTCCTTCCTAGGCTGAAGAGGCTGTTGCTCTCAAGGAGCAAAGGCCTCACCACCGCATCAGCTTACAGTGTGGCATGGGTCAAAGTCAGTGGTCAACAGGAGATGCAGGGCCCTGAGCTAGCCTGAGCAGACAGACAGGGGCACAGTGATCAGGACTCACCAGGAAGGAGCAAAGGAAGATGAAGGACACGAAGTAGAAGTAGGCAAAGTCACTCCCACACTCACTGGCATTGGCATCTGGGTCACAGGCCCGGTTGCTCAGACAAGACAGCATGATTTCATGCCAGGCCTCCCCCGTGGCACTCCTGAAAAGAAGAACAGAGCTGTGAGCCCATAGTAGGAGGCCTGGAGGGCAAACCTCCAGTGACGCCAGAGCCCTGGCCAGCCCAGAAGGTGGGGGCCAAGTCCTCAGGAGAGCTGGGCCAAGGGGAGCCCTCGCTGGGCCCCTGTACATGGAGCCTTTGCCATTATGTTTCCGAACTGGTCATCAGTCGAGGAGAGTAATCCAGTGCACTGTGAGCACTCCTTGGAGGACACAACATAGTCTCATCCCAAACGCAGGCCATTCTTACCCTTGTTTCTAGAAGCAGCAGCTTCTAGAACGGCTACCTTTCCAGCCACTCAGGCCAAAGCAACTGAATCATCCCTGCCTCCTCCCTTCATATTCTATCCATCAGCTCAGGCTCCTTCGAAAGAGCAGCTCTGTTTCCACCTGGTGCCTCACAGCAGCACCCTCCCAGGTGCCATGCGGGGCCACAAGGTGCAGGCCTGAAGTTGTCACTTCTTTCAGACCTTCCCATGCTCCCTCACTCCTCATGAAGACCAAACCCACATAGCTGAGCTCAGCCCCAGGGACCTGAAACCTGATCTTCTCCCACCCTCAGCCCTCAGCCCTCCTCAGTCCACTTGCACACCACTCTCTGTGCCCAGAATCCCTGGAGGACACCCTGCCCTGAGCAGCCACTTGGGACTCTGCAGAACACACAGCCAGCACCAGTGCCCACCAATGATGCCAGGGGTGGGGGTTTCCTCTAGTCAATGGGCCTATGCTAATCCAAGTGATGGAAGCACCCCCTTGTGATGCAAAGTTCAGGGAAACAGAATTCTTGGAAAACATAGGCCTAAGGCAGACTCAGAGGGTTGCCTCAAATCTTTGTGGCGGGGGGAAGAGCAATAATAAATGAAGAAATAAATCTAATGTAAGTGCTGAAGCTCGGAGAATCAATATGATCTGAGAAAGAATGAGCCTGAGGATGCCTGTCTATCTTACGCCAGAAGCAAGAGCCAGAATGTTCCCCAGGCAGGGCAGCAAACAGGGGCCCTGAAGTAGCCCTGCCTCTGCATGAAGGAGCTCTCTGGAAGGTCTGATGTCAGCACCCACCCCATAAGTCCCTAAGGAGTTCCTTTCCTGTCCTGGAAAAACGAGGGAGACGCAGGAGGCAGTGAAACACATTCACCCTTCCCCCAGCCCTCAAGTCTACACCCAGGGCCCAGTCATAGAGAGTGCTCCACCCAGGACAGCACCTGGGCTTGAGCTGCTTCTGAACACCCCCCTGCCAAAGAGGCCTGTGCAGGCCCAAAGCTTGTTCCCAGGGTCTCCAGGTTCCACCTCCATGCTCCCACATGACACCTTTTGACTCTTGCTTACTCTTTGGCGTAAGGGAGGTGTGTCAAGACCAGAAGTTCTGGCCAGCAGAGCTCCTTGGGCCCTGAGCAGCAGCAGTCTCCCCCTCTGCACCTGCCTCTCCCTTTCTCACCCATCCCGTCACCAATACTGCTTCTAGCTGTGGAAGCTGGGGCCAGCTCACTGCACAACCCTGCAGGCATTCCCTGTCCTAATAGGGTGCGGCCTCCTGGGAGCCTTCTGGCTGTCAACCACACAGCAAGGACAAGGCAGGCAGGCCTGGCTCAGAGCTCCCAGGTTCCTCCCTTAGGGGCTTCTTACCAGTCTGTCCTGAGGCCAGGGCAGACTTCCAAGAGCCTCTGGATGAGTAGAGAGGGAAGGACTGGAAAAGCCCTCTAAGGAAAAGCAGCATGGTTTGAGGGTTAGAAGAGAGTGGTCCCCATGGTGAGACCCACCCTCCTCCATCCTGAGCAGAGTGGACATCAATGTGACCACACAACATACCTGAACAACAGCATCAGGGCTTGTAAGAATGTGCGGAAGTTATTGTGCCGGTTGATGCTGGTGTCGTCGTCCAAGGCAATGTTTCCAAACACCTAAAATGGAGAATAGCAGCATGTTCATGCTGCAGGATTCCCAGAGCCACAGTGGGTAGACCAGGCAAGAGAGGGAATGCGTGCAATCTGGGGGGCCCCACATGAGACAGTTGGTCACACCCGAGTTCCATGGCTCAGCATGAGCCAGGCTCCAGGAGCTCTGAGCCTGTTTCTAGATGCAAGTCTGATGAATGGGAATGGGGCCCAAATCTGCTATGCACAAGACAGGAAGTGTTTCAGGTAGCTCACTTATTAACAGTTCCAAAGCAGGAATTATACTAATATACTGGCAAAAGCTCTGAGAAATCACTGGAAATATTCCTTTTTTTTTTTTTCTTTTTTCAGTACTGGGGATTGAACCAGGAGTGCTCTGCCACTGAGCTGCTCCCTTAGCCCTTTTTAATTTTTATTTTGAGACAGGGTCTCACTAAGTTGTCTCAAACTTGTGATCCTCCTGCTTTAGCCTCCTGAGTAGTGGAATCATAGGTATGTGTACACCCAGCTATATCACTGGAAAAATTCTTTTAAAACATTTGTGCAAATGGTGCAATGGGATTTTTATCTATTATAACTGGTTGTTTTCTTTCAGGGTAAGAATGCAAATGAATCAAGAACCATCTTCAGCTTAAAATTTGGCTGAAAATTGATAAACTATTACATTTCCACAAAGATCAGTAACATGCATGTTCTTATACATCCAAAAACTAAAGCAAGTGTGTGTGTGTGTGCGTGTGTGTGTAGGTGTGTTTGCTTTAAAAAACATCAAATCTCAGCAAACTCTAAATCAAGAGAACATTTCAGCCTGTGAATTAAAGACTTGGATACTGGCACCTCCCATACTAACTTTACACTCAGTCCACTCTCCTCCCCACTGCTGGGAGGGGACAGATGACCATGGGTTATAGCAGGACCCTGCTTTACATATTTAAGTATTTTTTCCCCCAAATAACTGACAAAGTATTCTTGGGAAATCAAACAACTTAAATCACACAGACTGAGATCATTGAGGACCTGATCTGAGGCTCCTCAGGAGCATGTGATCTCCCCTAAGGAGTGGAAGGGGCACCTTCAGACTGGCCAGCAGCCACTCCACACCATACAGATGTCTCCAATGCCCCAGTTGTACCTGAAGGCCACCCAAACCTCAGAAACATGGCAGTGCACTTTCCCAGAGAGAAAGGAGTGGATGGACGGCTAGACTGCCCCTCCTGGGAGTGCCTGGACACCCTCCAAGCAACAGTGTCTGAAAACAGCTGTCTCACTTCTCACACCAGTGTCCGACTCACAGCAGAGGCTCACTATGTGTCAGTTTATTACTGTTACCATTTAAGGGCCACAACACATTCCCAGTGGCCCAAGTGGACGAGAGCTCTGCATCCAGCCCTGTCAGGGCAGGCAGCACCCACCTGCATGCCGATGATGGCGTAGATGAAGAACAGCATGGCAATGAGGAGGCACACATAGGGCAGCGCCTGCAGACACATGGGCAGGTCAGGTCCCCTACCTCGCCACGGCCACACAGACCTCAGCCTAGCCCAGCTCCAGGCCCACCCTCCAAGTGGCAGGCCCTGTTTCTTCATCTGTAAACTGGGGTCATAAAACCGACCTCAATGGTTTTGTGGGCATCGAGGAGATAACCTGTGGTCACTCAGACTGTATTTATAAACTGCAAAAGGACAATGGTGCACACACCCTTCCAAAGAAGGGGGGAACTCGGGGGGTCAGGGAATCATGACAGAGGAGGAGGATGACAGCCCTGGAGGGAGCTGCCCTGCCCTGTCCTGCCCCGCCCTGCCCTGCCCTGTCCTGCCCCTGGCGCCTGCTTCACCTTGAAGGACTGGACGAAGGTCCACAGCAGGATGCGGATGGTGTAGCCCTGGCGCAGCAGCTTGACGAGCCGCGCAGCTCTGAAGAGGCGAAGGAAGCTGAGGTTGATGAAGTTGTTCTGTAGAGAAGAGGGATGCCCTCTCATCTTTGGAAATTGCCCCCCAAAAGGGCAACCTACACCCCACAACCTCTCCACAAGTCCCTGTGGCCCCAAAGTGGTTAAAAAGAAATTGAAATAAAGTGACCACTCAGTCTAAGCAGTAACTGGCCACCAGAAAACCTTCCAAAAGGAAAGCTTATTGTTGCAAGTCACGCTTCATGCAGCAGATCAGAGACATCCCCTATTCTAGGGCCACCCTGACAGGGAGACACAGAGAAGGAGCTCTCCAAAGTGGCTCCTTGCTGCCAGGTGGGGTAGGATCACCTGTGGGACTCCAACAGTGACCACCTCTCATGGGACACAGCCAGCCAAGCTGTCCAGGTGCTGGGCATGATGGTTCTCCAGTGGGCACCCCTGAAGGGACCCCCGCCCCCTGCCTGGGCTTGGTGGCCGCGCTCCTCCCTACCAGCCCCAGCCATTTCTACTGGGACCCACTGGGCTCTGGGGGACTGCTCCAGGAGCTGCTGACACTTATGAAAGGGACAGGTGCAGTCACTCTGCTGCCGAGAACCAGGATACTTGGTACTGCGCCCTCACCCAAGGGCTCAAAACTAATCACAGAGACAAACCGATCAACCCCAGACTCCAAAGTTTACCTGGGAGTGAGGAATCCCCGGCCCCAGACACCCTGGACTATTAAGAAGAGGGTGGCTCTGGGGAGGTGTCCGTGCATAGGTGGGGGTTCCTGTAGAGCCAGGCACTGTATGTTTGTCTACTTGGGGACCAGGTACCTGCACACAGCCTGAGAGCAGCTTCCTGACACTTTGGTATTTTTAAATATACAAGCAGCTCAGGCTCAGACACATTTGTGTTGTCAAGATTCAGTCATCAAATAAAGAGAAAAGAGAACACAGATGTTGAATGAGACAGCAGCAGCAGGAGAGCACATGCAAACGCAGAAACAGGGAAAGCCCGGCAGCACTCGAGGGCTGCCTATCACAACAAGGGAGGTGGAGGGATGGCTCACACTTACTTCCAGGGACCCACTCTCAAGGGACACTTCTGCCTTGCCTGTGGCTCCCACCAGGGTGGCAGGATCTCTGAGTTTCTCTGCAGGCTGGAAACAGACAGTCACGGGAGGTTCTGGCTCTCAGGCAGAATGCTGAGTCCTAAAGGTGGGATCAGTGGGCATAAGGGTGATGTGGACCTTGTCCACATCAGCAAGAGGGTGGGAGTGGGACTCGAGGCATGCCCTGCGGGGTGCACAGCTAAGCCTGCAGCTCCCCACCAATTCAGGCTGAGGAGAGAGAATCTCAGTGGTACACACAATGGAAATAACTGCCCACTGACCACTTCAGACCCCAAGGACATAGACAGTCACCAGTGGGGGCTCCTTCTGAAACCCCCTACTCAAATAAGTCTGGAGAAGCAAGGATCTTAACAATGCAAGGCCTGTCCAGCTCAAAGCAGTCTGTGGCTGGGCAGTGGCACTCAGGAGAATTCCTGAAAATGTGGGAGGAATACAGATTCCTGGTAACAAAGAAGGGGCAGAATATGAGAGGGCAGACAGAGGGCCGGTGACACTCAGCCCCACTCAGCTGCTGTAGTGGAGACCAGTTCTCCATCCCTGCTCCTAGGCTTCTCTCTGGGCTCCTGCAAGTGCTGGGGGAGGGTGAGTGCAGACAGACAGGCAGCCCTGGAGAGTTGTGAAGGCAGATGATAACAGTCACAGATGCCCAAGCAGAGTGATGGGCTGGGGACCACCATGCTAACTGCATGCAGGACAGCGGGGGACAGCAAGACAGGGCTGTGTGCCGTGCACTGCCACCTCTGGCCTCAGCCGCCCTGAAGTTAGACATGGCCTGCCCTTCCTCCCAAGACCCATGGTTTCTGCTGCACAAGAAATGCTACGCCCACTTCAAAGCTACCATTTTTGCAACCTCACTCAGCCTGTGCACCCACAGTAAGACGAGGGAACACTGGTCTCGCCCTTCCATCTCAGTCTCCTTGCCCACAACCTGGCAACACTAGGGACATCAATGCCCAGGTGGCAAGGGACAACTGAGGAAAGAAATTCGGAAGTATAGTGACCTTTGTAAGGACACTGTCCCACAAAGCCAACCTGGCTGACCCAGCCATGACTAGCGTCTACATCCAAGGCCACCATGCTTCTAGCCAGTCACAAGAGAGGGAGGCCTTACTCCTGAAGGCCTCCAGGGAATTCAGTCAGACCCATGGATACCTGATGACCACACACCACACCACAGGATGAGGTCCTGCTATCATAACCAAACTGCTCTCTTAGTTCCACTAACGTGGGCTGATTGTGCAAAGGAGAGGAAATGTGCACATACACACACTCCCCACGTCCACCAGTCATGAAGACCAGGACAAGGAGGAGAGAGACAGGTGGCCACTGCCTGGCCTGAGCTGGAGGCTGTGCAGAGGATGTGGCTAGGCATTTCCGCAGCATTCAATGCCATTTTCTCAAAAACGCAAGCTTTCTACTTTAGATGTAGAACCCTGTGCAACATTCAGTTTCTGCACAGAAACCTCAAAGATCTGCTCCTTTGGATGAATTTTCACAGCCACAGCTAAAGCTAATTGCTACCAAACACCCTTATTCTCTCAAAACCACTGAAGAGGGCTGGGGCTGTAGCTCAGTGGTAGAGTGCTTGCCTAGCATGTGTGAGGCACTGGGTTTGATCCTCTGCGTCACATAAAAAAATAAATAAAATGAAGATGTCGTGTCCACCTACATCAAAAAATATTAAAAAAAAAAAAACTTCTGAAGACTTGGAGGGAGGCCTCAGTTGCACCTGTATACTGCAAGAGCTTGGCCAACAGTGTGCACACACTCCAGTGATAATCTAAAGTTGGGATCCCTGAGCCTCTCTGTCTGCTGGGGCAGAGACCCTCCTACTCAGGCCCCAAATGACCCTCTCTGATTCAGAGTCCAAATCTCCAAACTTCCCATGAGCCCAGTGCCCCTGGCCCAACTCCCTAAGGAAGGGCTTATCCAGGAAGGACAGATGCAACAGGGGACTTCACCAAGGCCACCTGGGCAAACCAAACCTATGCTGTGCGTTGGCATGATAGGGACACTGAAGAGAGGAGGTGAGAGTGCAACAGAAACCACAGACTCCCAGGGACCAGGGCCAACCTCGTCAGGCAAAACCTCCTGAGTCATGCCAGTCTCAGCAGGAACTTCCGCCCTGGGCACTTACCCCCCATCCCAGAAAGTTCCACTTCCCCTCCTTGGCAAGGGCCCAGATTCCAACAGCTCCTGGAGGCCCTCTGAAGCCCCTGCTGGACCCCAGGGGTAGGGGAGAGTGCATGGGAGGCCAGAGGTGAGAAAGTACAGCAGAATCCAGCTCACGCCTCAGAGGGCAGCAGGTAGGAGCCCCAGAAACAGAGAGAAAAGAAGAGCAGGCAGAGCGAAGACTCGTAAAACTGTTTAAAGTCACAAACCAACCGTTTCCTATATGTGATGTTTTCATGGATGGGTATTTGCGTATTATTTACAAATTGGGGTGGTTTGAGCAGCAGGCGCGCAACATACAGACGGAGACATGGGTTTTCGCATTGTATGTTGGTTGGGTGGCGTGAGTCAGCAGGTAGGTTAAGGTAAATCAAGAACAAAAACAGGAAACAAAAGAGAAAATGAGTCATAAACACAAGCAAAAACTTAAACTCTGAATACTTAACTAGAAAACTTCAGGATTTTGTAAACTGCATATTTTTCTTGAAATGCACGAAATCAAACATATTTTGAGATCTGTAGGTTATGAGACTGCAGCACTATTTGCATTCTTGTTTTAATGCAAATCCAAAGATGACTCACAGACAATAGTTCATTTTTATTTCCAGGCAAAGAAATCAATGTCAGTTTTATGTGAGTTTGGAGCCCTTTCTCCAGGGATCCTTGCTAAGACTATGGATTTATTTTGATTTTTAAATTGGGGATCAGAACTGACACTCATATTTTTGCCTAAGAAAAAAAAGTGCATTTGCAAAGTAAATATATGAAGTGGCTCCAAATGAAAAACAAACAAATAAACAAACAAAACACCACCGATCCATGTGATGGCTGTCCTTTCATCTGTTCTCCTCCAGGCAGAGAAGGCCAATGACCAAAGCTCCAACAGCAATGGCAGCCAAAGGGTAGATAAGTGTTCACTCAGGGCCGCTTCTCCCTCTCCCACCAGCCTGCCAAGGGCTTGCTTTAAGTGAGGCCTGACAGCTTACAGGCCTCCCTGGCCTATCCAGCAGCTGAGGGACAGCATGCGGGGGTCATTTGGGTGGCCTACACTGCAGGAGGCCTCTGTGCACCTGTGATGTCAGCCAGCATCCCTGCCCACCCCCTCTTATGCCTTCTCATCTATCAGGAGTCTGGTCAGAAACCCTGAAGTTGCCCTTCCAACTTGGAGCTGTTGGATCACTTAGGCTGGGGAAACAAATATTCCTGTTTCCAAGAAGCCCCACAGGTCCCAGGGACTCAGCCAGCCTGGTCTTCAGAAACTGCACTGAATGTGATGATTCTGGGGGGATGCACACAGTGATGGGGCAGCCCCCAGGAAAGCCACCCCACCAGGAGCTGGTAAAGCAAAGCAACCTTGGTTTACTTTTTTATTTATTTTTAAATGTTATTTATTTTTAATATTATTGTATTTTTCTACCTTTATTTAATCAATTAATTTATTTTTATGTGGTGTTAAGGATTAAACCCAGTGCCTCACACGTGCCAGGCTAGCGCTCTACCACTGAGCTACGACCACTGCCCTTGGTTTTCTTTTTAAATGGAAGATTTCAGCCTCTTTGCTTAGAATACTCACATAATTAACTGTTGAAAACCATGAAACATACCACATAAACAAAATAATATGTCTAAATATTTTAAAGAACAGTAAACCAAATATCCATATATTTATCACACAGCTGAAAAGCAGATGGCTCCTGTCACTGTGATGCCCTCCTGCTTCCTTCCTGCCCTCTGGATGAAGCAGCTGGCCTTAATC